GACATGCACTATCAAGTATTCCATCAGTTGGTGGTCTTGTGAATCTAGAAACTATTGTGATATCTTATACATTTGGAGAAATTTTTCACTTACTATGTTCCAACCACACGATTTGTATCCGCATCACTTTGGTCTCCTTTAAATATTCTAGCCATACCAAAATCTGAAATTTTGGGGTTCATAGAAGCATCCAGTAGAACATTACTGGCCTTTAGATCTCTATGGATAATCCTTAACCTTGAATCTTGATGAAGATACAAGATCCCTCTAGCAATCCCATAGATGATCCCGAAGCGTACTGTCCAATCTAGAAGTGCTCTTTTTGTGTCATCTGGATGTTAAAAGTAAGAAAATAGACTAAATTCTTGCTTCCTTATTAGTTTTCAAGTGACAAAATTAGATATGAAAGCAAAAGGAAGACATACTGAAGATGAAAGAGTCCAAGCTTTTGTTCTGCACGTATTCATAGATTAGCATCTTCTCTTCATCTTGAACGCAATAACCTAAAATCCTAACAAGGTTCCTGTGTTGGAGTTTTGCAATCAGCACAACTTCATTCTTAAATTCCTCAATTCCTTGACCAGAATGTTTTGCTAATCTTTTCACTGCCACTTCTTTTCCATTACAAAGCACACCCTGAAAAGATAATCCACCTTTGAAAGTGCTCTTGTGCATGCAAAACTAAAAACCGAGGCATATTCACAAAAATCTGATTTCTGATTTGAGAAATTATTCAAAGACAACTACCTTATAGACTGAGCCAAAACCCCCCTTTCCAAGCATGTTTGTAAGAGAGAAATTGTCCGTGGCCGCCGCTATGGTTGTTAGATCAAAGAATGGTATGTCTGAGTGCATACTACTTTCATCAAGTTCTGCAGTAGAATCTTCAAAGTAGGTTGACCTTGTGGTAACTCTAGGGGAATACTTATTTTGTCTTTGCTTACCTGCCATCAAATGTAGAACAAGTAATCTATTTAGCCTTTGTTTCATTAGCAAGCACAAGTTGTATTTTTATGATCAGACTAAAGTGTGATTCATCTCTTCAATGGAGAATTTATTGATGTGGGTGATATCAGTGCAGAACAATTAGGTGACAAATGAATAGTGAAAATAAAATAAATTTGTATCAGACATTCACCTTTTCTTTTCCTCCTTACCAACCAATAAGAAATGGGAACTACAAGAAGAAGGAACACCAGAACGGAAACTAGAGAAATTGCCAGTTTTCCCTTCTTGCTAAGTGAACCATTTGACTTTGCATATTGAGCTTCAAGGGTAAAAAAAACACAAATAAAATCCAGCAAAATTTGAGATTAGTAAGATGGTGGAATTTTTTTCAATAAAACGACTTACTACATACTATAGTCATAGTGCATTATAATGAGATAAAAATAGAAGAACAAAGGGATAAATGATCTTGACTTGTAAGGAAAAGGAGATGAACCTACTACCTAACACAATTGCATCAACTCGTACATACAAATCCTGGCCAGCATTTGAAAATGTTCTCGTGTCCATCAAGTCCCCATGCCATGTCACGCATCCAAACCCTCCCCATCTCTCGTCTGCTTTTGCATACGCCTTGCAAGAACAATTTCTCAAGCACTCCTGCGGGCATGCTTTCCAACTCAAATTCATGTTCACAAGTGCCTTAGACGAGTCGGGTACCTTCACACGTTCGACCTTCAAGAACCCATCCCCATTTCCACATATGGATACTTCGTTTTTCCTCACACACCCACCCGACGCATCTCTCAAATACCAATCAGGTGGCGACTTGGGTTCGTATCCGGGTAGGCACGTGCACTCGAACTTACCCACATTGGACGGGTCACAATTGCCATTAGCACCACACTTCCCATATTCATCACACAACCCTTCTGGGGCAGACAAATATTTGATCCATTGCTGCCCTTGATCATGCCATATGGACCGTACAAGGACTCCTGATTCCTCAAGAACCATCCTTGAGAAGATTGATTTATTCGTGATACCATCCACAATATATAGCTCATCTTGATTGTTCACAAAAGTAATGTTGAAGATGAAATTATATGGCATATTGGGCACACCGCTCAATCTCTCTCCAATCCACGACCCGGCCCGCCAGAGCGGAGCTTGACCCTTGTATAAAAACACCTGCGGAAACCCACTTGGGCCATAGTTACCAGTTCCCGGATCATCTTGAGATTTCCAAGATGTGAGGAACCGATTCAACTTGGACCGCCGATCCAGCCCAAGTTTCACAAATGGAAGCAATGTATTTGTGGGATGATCAAAGCCTTGCCACAATACCCCTTGGCTAAGACCATTGTCCTCCTCAAGCAAAACAAGATTTCCTGTATCCAAAAGCTTGGCTGTCATGGAATTGTTTGGCGAAGAGACTGAAACATTAGCAGACCAAAGAGGGGTATTTTGGTCCTTCCCATAGATGACCAGGCCTCCATTTCCATGAACAGCTAGAAGTCCAACTCCAGAGGCATTATTATCAGTGACAGGAATTATGGGGTTGTCTCTGTTTGCAACCCAGACAATGGTTTGGTTTGGAACTTTGTTGTACCAAACTCCAACATACCGGTTACGAGAATTGGCCAGGCTGAAAAACCCAAGTGCAAAGATTTTATTACTAGAGAGAAGAACATCGCCATCTCTCATGGGTTGGTTTGGCTTTATAGAGCCAATGGCAATGGAAGTGGAAGAGGGGAGGATTGGGAGGAAGCTGAGCAATATAATATTCATGGCAAAGCATTTAGTAGTAGAATTCATGGCTAACTTTCTCAATGAGTCATGCAATTCAGT